TCTAGCAGACTCGAACCCTGGAACCCACGCGTATGAGGCAAAAGCTCTATCCACTCAGCTATGAGTAGTCTTAGAAAGACCACTTTATTAAGTCTTTATTTATTTATTGTAATATTTATAAATACTCGTAGCTGAGTGGATAGAGTCTGCAATTCACACAGGGGGGTCCATGGTTCGTGTCTCCTAGAGCCAAGGTGATTTAAATATTTATTTTCACGGAAGTGTGGTGGACAGGTTATTATTAATAATATTATTATTTATTATTTTCATATATTACGGTACGTGGCGACACTAGGCGGCTCTGAAGGATGTAGAGAGAGTCCTAGACACTAGCGCTAAGTTCACAGTATGTCGCCTCTTCACGTTGGACCGTCACATCTTACTCTCGGTGAGTGAGAGGAGTCGTTGTACTCGTGGTGAGTGAGCTGAGTACTCTAGGTAAGTGAGCTGATTCATTATGCTCTCGATGAGTAAGCTGAGTATCATACTCTAGGAGTCTAGGTGAATGAGCTGAGAGTTATGACGGAGTATGTGCATTGCAATTTCAGCCCGACATCTCCAGTGTTTCCATCGTCACTGAAGTGATGCGCTAAATTGCCCGAACCAAACCGAAGACCCCATGAATAAGAAACGGGATATCACGTCAATTTTGCGAACCGCCATGATTTTTAGTACATCAGTTTTTGGCCTTAGAGGATTTATACGTCAATATGCGATGTACTGTTTAAGAAGACAGGTTGCGCATTGACGTTATGTCCCGCTTTCTATTCGTGGGTCCTCAGTTGGGTTAGGTTCGGGCAACGTTTAGTAACGTTATAAATGCTGAACGAGCTATAATCCGACACCGTCTCGTGCCCATTTAGACATAATTGTCCCCAAAAGTTCCCTCAATATTGTTTAGTAGTAAATTAATATGATGGATTGTATTGCATTAGATTGATTAGTGATTGTGATAAGTAATGCACTACTCTTTGTCAGTTCGTATTCACTTGTTTTTGCTACAAGGGGTATTATGATTTACCAGAAGAAGGCACCAAGCCAGGGAGACAATGTGACAAAAGGGTACTGTAAGGCTGTTAGACAAATCGAGTGAGATTTAATCTAGCAACAGACCCGTGCGACAACTCCTGGCTACAGCCTGTGTTGGAGGCAAGTGGAAATGTGGAACCCAAGTGGCCAGGTTGTGAGGTTGAGTTAGTTTAATTCATTTATTATGTGCACCCCATACCCATCTTGTGGGCGGTAGTGGAAAGGGCTACAGAGGCACATAATGGGCTCAGTGACAGAGCCCCACAACTCATTTAGCTAAGCAAATTACAATCTTGATGAGCTAGATACAAAATTCAATGCACATGTGAGGTTGAGCAATGCATTATAAAGACACTGCATTAACTTGTAGGGCGGGTTAAGATATCTGGCAGTCATAACTTCATGTATTGTATTTTGTCATGTTAGTAAGTGCTAAAACGACAGGAAAGATAAGCAGTGATAGTAATGTAGGGTAATAGCTTTAATTGTTTGTCAGTGGGTGACTGAAGTAATTTACTAGGTGTTCATATCTCGATCCTGCACTTAACCTGGACCCATAAACTTGAACCATTGTTATTACTTTATGTAAGTGCATCATTTATTTTAATGCCCCATTATTCTGGTTACCAGTTAACTCGTCTGTTTTAGTTAGTACCTATTTAATTTATATAGACATTAGATAAGTCGGCATATGCTGCAGTTGTGGCCAGGCCAAAGTTGTGGATGACGCGAGAGACCCTTGGTGGTAGCATGCATTAATTCAGGACTGTAAGACTAGGTTATATCTTGAGGTTATCTTGAGATGATTTAGGGGCTTTTTAGTGTCCCCGAGGCCTGGTCCTCGACCAGGCCTCAACCCCTCCAGGAAGCAGCCCGTGACCGGCATATTGTGAAGGAAACTCTGCCCATTGTTTCTCGCCGGCGCCTGGGATCGAACCCAGAACCACAGGATCACAAGTCCAGCGTGCTGTCCGCTCGGCCGACCGGCTCCCCAGCCAATATAGGTCACTATATTCTTGGTGTGGTGAATCATTATACCATCGGTGAGTGAACTGAGCTTCATACTCTCGGTGAGTGAACTGAGTCTTCATCCTTCATACTGTGTGTTTATGTGTATTCACCTAGTTGTGCTTGCGGGGGTTGAGCTCTGCTCTTTCGGCCAGCCTCTCAACTATCAATCAACTGTTACTAACTACTATTTTTCCCCTCACACCACACACATACAATACACACACACACACACACACACACACCAAAAAGCAGCCCGTGACAGCTGACTAACTCCCAGGTACCTATTTACTGCTAGGTAACAGAGGCATCAGGGTGAAAAAAACTCTGCCCATCGTTTCTCGCCGGCGCCGGGAATCGAACGGGCTACAGGATCACGTGTTCAGCGTCCTATCAACACAGCCACCGGTTGTGTGTGTGTGTGTAATTTCCTAAGTGTAATTACCTAAGTGTAGTTACAGGATGAGAGCTACGCTCGTGGTGTCCCGTCTACCCAGCACTAGTGTGTGTGTGTGTGTGTGTGTGTGTGTGTGTGTGTGTGTGTGTGTGTGTACTCACCTAGTTGTGCTTGCGGGGATTGAGATCTGGCTCTTTGGTCCCGCCTCTCAACCGTCAATCAACAGGTGTACAGGTTCCTGAGCCTATTGGGCTCTATTATATCTACACTTGACGTGTGCACGCACGTGTGCGTGCGTGTGTGTGTCTAGACAATGTTGGGTATTGACCACCATGACACCCTGTGACCTTGGAGCTTTGTTGTGGTTCACATTATTACAGCCAAGCAATAATCAATCAGTAACGCCACAAACAAACCTCAGCCAACCCTTCATATGTACACTGCTTACAGCAGTTCTTCACGAAACACGATATAAAGACATTTTAATATACCTTTTTTTTTTGGGGGGGGGGGATTCTTTTTTCAGGTGGCGAGTTCAGTGGTGACGTACCTAATCATCGCTCTGCAGTTTGGCTTCTCAGAGGCGCCACACATACCTGGCGTCAACTGTACGGAGACGGAGCAACTGCACTAATTCAAATTCAAATTCAAATTCAAATGTTTATTCAGGTGTTGGAGACTAGCTGGAGGCTCTGTGCTCCGCGACCCCCACGCTCCTCTTACACCAAATCTCAACCGCTCCGCCAAGTAAAAAAACAAAAACAAGAAACTTTACATTTTTTGTTAACAGTTTACTCATAATTATAATTTTTAGCCAAATATCCCCAGTTTGCTAACTGTAGGTAGTAACTGAGTGATTGTAACCTATCCACCGCTGCCCACTGGATGGGGGGCGGTGTGCAGGACAAACATATATATTGTGACACTAGCTCTCCACATATGTCAGTTGCTTAATTTAGAACCTGTACTTGAGGTCGATCTCGAACCCATTGTTGATGTGACGACTTATATTAATGTTTGTAACTAGCTCATCAAGATTGTAACTTGCTTAGCTAAATGAATTGTGGGGTTCAGTCCCTGAGCCCATTATGTGCCTCTGTAACCCTTTCCACTACCGCCCACAAGATGGGTATGGGGTGCATAATAAATGAACTAAACTAAAACTATATATTCTCTCTATTCACTCATTCTGTGCTCTGTTTTGTCATGATTAATAACTAAGGCAGGTACTTGACTGTCTAAGACCTCATATACGCTAATATATATATATACGTTTTTTAGCTGTTCTAATATTTGCACAGCATTGTACCTCTCGAGAATCTTTTTTGAGATTTTCAATGTATTTTTGTAATAGTAACCAAGGTACGAGGGGCAGAGACTACTATACGTATTTGAAAGAGTTGACATGATCTATACTCGGTAAGTATGTCATCACTCTTTAGTTTTTGTTGTCTAGTTTTGTGGTTGCCAATTTGCTGTTGTTGAACAACTTATTTTTAGGTGCAGGGGAGATTGCAAAAGCAACTCTTTCACAAGCTGTGTGTATGCAATTTAAGGAAGTTTGTATATCTTGGTGGGTTTTGGTATATGGAAGAATATCATCTGCATAGCTAACAATAATGTTTTTCAGACTTTTGTGGATAAATGTCAATAAGCCTTTCATTATAATATTAATCATTGTGGTATTTAATAGTTCAACTTGAGGAATGCCTAGAGTTGTATCTATTGGCTTACCTTGCCCGAAACGCTATATGCGTACTAGTGGCTTTAGCTATTGTATGTACTAGCTCTATCTATAAATCAAACATTATGTTTATAAATCAACAATGTATGTACTTTCCTGAATAAAATTTATTTTACTCTACTTTATTTTACTTTTACTAGAAACGTACCCAACCATTTCTGTCCCACCTGGGATTTTAACCCGGAATTCCCGATTGAGTCGCGAACAAACCTAACTGTACTACGGAGACGCTAAATATATTGCATATACAAGGGGCAATAGCTTTAAACTCTTCAAGCCACAATACCACAATATTAGACAAAAAAAAAGAAAATGCTTTTTCAGCTGTAGGGTTTGTAAACCATTGGACCTACCGAAGAGTTGAATGGCAAGACATTATATACTTATTATATACTTATTAAAAATCTGGTTGGAGTGGGGGGGGGGGGAGGACAGTTAACAAGCCCCTGGTTTCCTGACCCCGTCAAGGTCACTAGAGAGCAGTGGCTCGCAGGTAAATTCAGATAAATATTCACAGTTCATGGATGAACTCTAAATTACAAAAAAAATAACCCATTGCACGGGTGGTACGCGAACAAGGGGACGCAGGTGGAATCCGAAATGAGCCACAGGGACGTTAGAAATAACTTTTTCAGTGTCAGAGTAGTTAACAGGTGGAATGCATTAGGCAGTGATGTGGTAGAGGCTGACTCCATACACAGTTTTAAATGTAGATATGATAGAGCCCAGTAGGCTCAGGAATCTGTACACCTCAGAAGAGAGGCGGGATCAAAGAGTGCCGACCCAACTAGGGAAGTACAGGCTGCCGCCTGGCCGGGATCACACGAGTGAAGCAGTGAGGTGCGGGGCGACCCGGGCAGCGCACCACACAGTTGCAGGTCAGTGCGGCGCGTGGTGCAGGTGGTGGCCTGCTGTCCTCACGCTCACACGTCTTCCTCCAGGTACTCTCTCCCACCTTCACGGCTTAATGAAATAGGAGTGTTCGGTCTCGTCAGGTACTGCTTAGCTTAAAGAGCATTAGGGCGGAGATGGAATTTGTGGACAGTATTGGGCCACGGGGGTGGTGGGTGGGGGGACTGTTTAAGCATATCGAGGTGCCCCATGGCCTGGCACTCACCTTTCTCAGGATGCAACAGTTGCCCAACTCCTGTCTGCGTGTTTACTGCTGGGTCAACAGTTTTTGAGCCTGTTGTGTTCCTCCATAACCTTTTCCAGTACTGTACCACCGACAGATTGAAGTGTTAAATTAGATCATAACAATGAACTAAACTAAAATAAAAAAAAAAAAAAAATTAAAATTAAATACTATGAAGATAAATTTACCCAAACAAAGGGCAACATTAAGAAAACATGGAGCACAATTTCACAAATATTGGGATCAAAGAAGATTTTAAATAACAAACCAATACTCCTGTCCATTAATGATGTTCAGCTTACAGCCACTGATACTGCTATTGGGTTCAATAGGTTCTCTTCCGTTTGAGTGAGCCAGCCAGAATGCTTAGGGCCCGCGCAGGAATATCCCTGCGAAAAAAAAAAAACTTCCATTGGATCATCCCTTGTAATTGTTATTCCATCTTCCAGTACTGATGTTCAGGACTATTTTACAGGTAACTATCCACAGTCTCTGTACGTAACGCCTGCAAATTCCACTGATGTTAATGAGATAATCTTTTCCCTTGAAACCAAGTCTAGTGCCCTTGAGGAGATACCAACTTTAATTTACAAAAAAGCCTCCAGATCTTTAGTTCCTGCTATTGCATTGCTCTTCAATAAGTTACTTGAACTCCAAACCTTTCCAGATATTCTAAAAAAAAGCGAGAGTAACCCCTGTCCACAAATGTGGTGATCTCACTGATGTTAACAACTACAGACCTATATCAATCCTGCCAAACTTGTCAAAAATATTTGGAAAACTAATCTACAAGCAGCTTTACTCGTATCTAGCCAAACACAATATACTTAGCTCTTGTCAATATGGCTTCAGACCCAAAAAAAGCACTAACGATGCACTTGTTAGTATGATTGATACATGCAGTTCTTGATTAAAATGAGTTCCCTGTTGGGTTATTTGTGGACCTGCGTAAGGCTTTGCACACTGTCAACCACCAAAACCTTCTTCTTAAATTGCATCATTATGGAGTCAGAGGACACTCCCTGCAATACCTCAAATCTTACCTTACTGACGGGCACCAGTAAGTTTCTGTGAATAATTCAATTTCTCCCACCCTACCCATCAACATTGGTGTTCCTCAGGGCAGCATACTTGGCCTTCTCCTCTTTCCCATCTACATTAATGACCTTCCAAATGCCTCCCAACGCCTCAAACCAATTCTATTTGTTGACGACTCGACCTTCATTTACTCCAGTCCTGACCCCCTTGCTCTAAATGTTAGTGAATACTGAGCTAAATAAAATCTATCTTTTGGCTAACTGCCAACAAACTCACCTTCAACATTGACAAAACTTTCTATATTTTGTTTGGCAATAAATCCTCAAATCAAATAAATCTCAGGATAAACAATACCCAAATTTGTAACAAATAGATGGCAAATTCCTTGGCATTTTCATTGACCAGAAGCTAAATTTCCAGGGACACATTCTAAATATATAAAAAAAAAGTTTCAAAAACTGTTGGCATTCTTTCTAAGATCAGATATTATGTACCTCACCCTGCCCTGGTGACGCTCTATTACTCCCTCATCTATCCTTATCTCAACTATGGTATTTGTGCTTGGGGTTCTACTACCCAAAATCGTTACGTCCTCTAATTACTCAACACAAAGCTGCTATTAGGATAATATCCAACTCTGGCCCCAGACATCACTCGGTACCCCTACTCAAATCTCTGAATATGTTATATATTAAGTCACTGCACATCCTCTAATGTGTATTATATAAGTATATATAAAATGCTGAACTGTAATGTCAATCCTGACCTTAAAAGCTTCCTAGAAGGTTGTAACAGAACCCATGAGCACCACACCAGAAACAAATACCTTTTTGATATTCCAAGAATACGACTTAATCAAACTAGAAATGCTCTACAAATCAAGGGACCCAGAATGTGGAATGACCTTCCCAATCATGTTAAAGACGTACCTCTCCCAACTAGTTTAAGATAAAAACTAAGCACTACCTAATTAACTCCCTGTAAACTACTTACCCCTAAATGTCAACCCATGTCTACTATTTTAAATAATGCTGTTTGTCGACCAAATTATATATTTGCTATTTTTCTGCCATGTTCCCCCTTTTTTTTTTATATTTTCTCAACACAATTTTTACTTTAATCTCAATTAGTATTAAGTTTTAGTCTTTAGTGTTTTTCCTGCCCGAAATGCTTTGCATAATAGTGGCTCTAGGCATTGTATGTACTGGTTCTATCTATAAATCCATCAATGTTTGTATCACACCTTGTATGTATTTTACCTGAATAAACATTTGAATTTTGACTAGACTCTGGCTGCAGGAATATAACCCAAGACCCTTCAGACGGAGCAGACCACCAACTGCTGTGCAATTGGACTCCTGAATTAATATTAAACTAATTAAACCAACTGTTGAGAGTTTGGTTAGCATTTTCAAGACTCCTGTTTGCTTAAACTGGTTGAGAGATGGGAATTCTTTGACGTGATGGGGAAGGTCATTTCACATTTTGGGACCCTTGATTTGCAGATCATTTCTACTTTGGTTAAGTCACTCTTGGAATATTAAATAGATGTTTCTAGTGTGGTGCCCATGGGTCCTGTTACAATCCTTTATGAAGTGTTTAAGGTCAGGATTAGCACTGCAGTTCGGAGATTTATATACATACAGTATATAAAGTACACTTGAGAGGATGTGCAATGACTTAATATTTAAAATATTCCAAGATTTAAGTAAGGGTGCCGAGTGCTGTTTGGGGCCATAGTTTTTGTTCTAATTGCTGATTTGTATGGAGTAATTAGAGGTTGTAGATGATTTTGTGTAGAAAAACCCCAGGCACAGATACCATAATGGAGAATTGGTATTTAAACTCGAAGCCCCTAAGGGTCCCTCTAGAGGGGAGGGGGTGCTGATTTCATTGTACAGTACAGTATTTGATTTTTTCTTTTTTTCCACAGATTAAAAGTACGATGGATGATCAAGCATTATCAGTGGAAGATTTGTTTAAGGCTCAAGTGCCAGTGTCATGCTTGATGCCTCAAATTTCAAACAATAATGTTCAAAGGAAACTTCCTACACAAGAAACGACGTCTCTCGGCGTCGAACCTAATGAAATTAATGATGATAAGTGCCTACATTTCTATGGTATTCGTTTAGATAAAAATGATGCTTTTTTAGGCAATGGTTACTTGACAGGTTCCATCAGCTCCTTACTAAGTAATGTTTCATCAGTCAACAATAGCAGTGTGCTAAATGAATCGAGACAGAACCCCACTGTCATCAGCAGCCCAAATAAGAGTTCCAAACAGTTATTAGCTTTAGATTCTGATGAAGACACATCTGAACCAAAGGAGATCCTCAAAAAAAAGATTTTGTCCAACTTAAAATCTTCGGTAGCCCAAGAAATGACTCCTCCACGTATTTTATGCACAAGAAATACAAATTTGGAAGAAGCAAAAACACCAGAAACTCCATATAGTTGTGGTGACATAATTGAAGTATGTCCGTCTCCATCCTTATTCTTGAAGGAGATTCGGTGCCAGTCTTCTACTCCCCTTAAGAGCAAATTTGATGAACATATGAATAACTGCTTCAATGATGAAAATAAAGTTCCTAATTTACTTGTCAGCCAAGAACACTGTGAAGAAAAACTGAAAAAAAATATATACCAAAATACAGGGTGTGAACCTAAGCTCTGTGCACTTAATACATCAAGAGATTCCAATGTGAAAGAAATGGATTCTTGCAGAAAGGTAGAGGATAGCATTGCATGCACTTTAATTGAAGACAATCTTGCCTTGACTTCTGCTATGAATAAGAGTGTAAAATGGGATTCCACTACTTTAAGTGCACTTGAGGCAAATATTACTCCTGTTAAAAGTTTAGCCCCAGAGGTGACAGGTGAAGTGGACTTGAGTGAATCAATGTGTAATATATCAATAAGTGATAGTAATGTAGATGATCGTGATAAGGTTAACGAAGAATTCATCATCTTGGATGAAACCTCAGAAAGCATTGATCTAGGTTCAGTAAAAGATTCAGTGTCAAATGATCACCATAGATTACTGGGAGAAAATAGAGCAGATTCACATGCAATACTAAGCAGTGAAGCCAGCCACAGTAATAATGCAGCTACTGACAGGAAAGAGAAAATGTTAGATAGTGGTGGTGGTTCAAAATGTACTGGTCAGTCATCTCATGTCCCGAGACAAAATGTGACCAAAAGGCTTTCTGAATCATCAGGTGCTGATCAGGCTCTGGTGAAACCAGAAAGCAAGGTATTAAGTGAAGAAAAGCTCGTACCAGAGGGTATTTATGTAAATGAAGTTGCATCTAGTTCAAATAAATCTGAAATGGATGGCATGGAAGAGTCTGTCAAGTCATACAGAGTGCCATTTGTAAGCTGTGATCCTCAGGAGAACGAAGATAATGAGGTAGGTATTTGGTATATCCTTATCAATTTACTAGTATATTAGCCATTCTACATTGAAAAGGGACTAGATAATGCACTTGTACAGTACAAAATAGTATTTTTTTTTGGGGGGGGGGGGGGCTCCCTCAGTAGCTCCCAGGGCTTAAGCTGTGGATTGGCAAAGCCTTGGCAAATAGCACCAGAACTCGGAGACCCACCCTTGTCTACAGAAAACTGGGCCCAGAATCTGACTTTTGAGGTGATGAAAGGTTGGATAAACCTAAAACTGAGGGAAACTACCCCAGAAGGGGTTTGCACAACAAAACTAGTAAATGCTTGTAAGAAATTGGTAATCCAAATGTAAACACTGGAAATTATTATTTCCATGAAGTAAATATCCTAACTGATGTGCCTGACAGTTACCAGGTGGCATCCCAGGTAACTCATGGCCTATACCAAACTGCCACTTCACTCGCTCACTTGGTGAGCGACTTCACGCACCGCTGACTGGATCCATCTTCTGCTCTATGATTTCAGTAAACGAATGCTGGGTTTTCCTAGAATGGTTGTTCTGTAGGGGGCAGTTGCTTTGTTATTGATTTCCTTTTATATTTTATAATTGTGTTTTATGCTATGCACATTGCATGTGCTCAAGCATTGTATTTCTCTCTGTGGGTCAGGGTTACCTTTCATAGTTGGCTTGTGTTCCTTGCCTCCACCAGAGCAATCCATTTTGGGGGGATTGGGTAGCTCTTCAAGTTTATTTCTATAGGGTCTCATCACATTAAATTATTGCAGAGTTGTTCTCCATTGTCTGTTGGTGGGGAGCATATTACAGTAGATAACTATGCTTGTGTGACCAATTCACTAGCCCTACACCTTGTGAATGTTTTGGTGCATGATTTTATTAAAAAAAATTCCTGCCTTACAGACCTGCTCATATTCTTGGGAAAGGTAACCAGCTATTCAGACAAAAGGACTTTCAGTAGATATAGTATACAGTGGAACCTCAGTCTACTAATGCCCCAGAGTATGAATGTTTGCGTACGACAACAATTCCGTCATAAAATTTGACGGGTGTAAACGTTTGCTCCATGAGTATGACACTCTTGTTGATACTTGTATGGGTCAGGCACATGGGTTCTGCTGGGGGCAGGGCAAGGCACGCTCGGTTTATCAGTGTATCCCGCCTAATGATGATGGCGCTTGAATTCTCTGTAAAGAATTTCATTATTATTTATTTTTCCTAGAAAAAGTCTCGTTATATATCACACCATGGGTCCCAAGGAAGTCAGTGGTAAAATTCAACCTAAGAAAATAGTTGTGAGGATGATGGAGGAAAAGCGATCATTCGTAAACATGAAGACGGTATGAGTGTGGTTGATCTGGCTTGGAAAATGTCTTCATTGTAGTTCTTCCCATGCTGTTTTGCTGAAAAGATTCGCGCAGATAAAACTGTAGTAAGCCGTTGTTAACCTTTTTAATGACACTGATGTTTCAAGAGTTAAAATGCAAGGGAAAAAAGTGTCTTTAGAGACGAGCAGTGAACCACAACCCGGTCTTAGTGGTATGCCTACATAACATAGGAGAGTACACCCCAGAAATGTAATCACTGCCTGATGTTATAATGGAAGGGGACGTGCCATCCAAACACTAACACCTCCCCTCCCCCACCACCTCAGTCTTCTATATGCCAACAAGTCCTCAATAAAGATAAGGTACAATAGAAAAAAATAGTATTGTGTAAAATGTGTTTTTCAGTAAATATTTTTGGGTTTGTGGAAAGGATTAATTCAATTTACATTATTTCTTGTGGGAAAATTCAATTCAGTGTACGAATATTCGGTTTACGATCCATCTCTTGGAACAGATTAAATTCGTAACCCAAGGTTCCACTGTATATGGACTTCTCTGAAGCTTTTGATAAGGTGCCCCTTGAAAAACTGACGAGGAAATTAAAAGCACATGAAATAAATGGTAGAATACTAGAATGAAGAGGTTAGGTTATCTTGGTCATCTTGAGATGATTTTTGAGGCTTAGTGTCCCTGCAGCCCGGTCCTCGACCAGGCCTCCTTTTTGTTTTACACCCCCGGGAAGCAGCCCGTAGCAGCTTTCTAACTCCCAGGTACCTATTTACTGCTAGGTAACGGGCATCCGGGTGAAAGAAACTTTTGCCCATTTGTCTCCGCCTCCACTGGGGATCAAACCAGGAACCTCAGCACTATGAATCTGAAGCGTTGTCCACTCGGCTGTCAGGCGCCATGGAGGAAACAATGGTTAAAACAAAGCGAAGGGTTATCCTAAATGGAACAGTGAATTTGACTAGAGAAATGTGAGTGGGGTATCGCAGGGTTCCATATGGGGGGCATCCCATTTTTGTCATACCTGTACACCAATGATATAGATGAGAATTTTACAAATCACATCATCAAATATACAGATTGATGCTAGGATTTATAATAAAGTAAGAAATGTAAGTAATATGGAGGCTTTACGAAGAGATTTTCATGAATTCTACATTTTTTTTTATATATATATATATATATATATATATATATATATATATATATATACACATTATATATATATATATATATATATATATATATACACATTATATATATATATATACATTATATATGTATATATATATATATATATATATATATATATATGTATATATATATGTATATATATACATATATACATATATATACATATATATACATATATATATACATATATATATACATATATATAT